TAATTTAAAAATCATAGCTGTAGACAATAATCCCCGTCAGACACCTAGCCATTCTTGTACTTTGGGAGTGAGTGTTAGACTTGTTTTTATTTAGTAAGTGCACTCAAGAGTGCTGCTCATTTTATTTCCCCACATCAGCACTCTTTACCATCCTACGGGTCTAGCCTCAACTAGAGCAGAGTGTACCTAGAGCCACCAGGTCACCTGCATCCCACATACCTAGTCAAAAGCAAATTCTTTTTTTTTTTTTTTTAATTCAACAAGGTTAAGACCCCTTTACCCTCTCACTTGCTTTTTTGTTTTGTTTTGTTCATTTGGATGACTAGATTAGAGACACTCCCCTTCTGTCCACCTCTTCTTTTTTGCCCTCTCTCACTCCAATGCTTTTTTCAATCTAAAACACTGCTTCATCCTGGCCCGGCCAGCCCCCGCTTGCCCCCATACAAAGGAAGAAAGGCTGGGCTCTTCTGTCTCTCACCAAATGGGGGTCCTAAAACACATGCTGCAGTTTGGCATGCTTTTCTTCCTTGTAGTCTCTTGGAGGGGTTTCGCTGGCTCGGTCTTGGAGAAATAAATGGACTGATGAAGATAGTGGTCTTTGCTATGCAGAAAATAAGATGGCTTCTAACTCTAACCATGCACTTCTGGTCATTTGCGTTATTCAAAGCAACTGATTCCCTTTAAAAGTTAAAAAGTCATGGCCCGCTGGCTGTGAGTTTGGATTTACTTTCCCAGCATTACAATGCCCAAATAAACGCCACCTTTGAGGCAATGTGGCTATTTGTGGTTTCGGTGGGTCTTTGGGAGTTTGTCTTGATGTTGTAGAGAGAGTTCTCTTCCTGTTGGTTAGAAGCCCTCTTATTTGGTGCCTCAGGGGGGCGGGGTGGGGAAGAGTACGAGGGGCCGGCGGCCCCCCACCAGCTCTGTCGCTCCTACCCCCCGCGCGCTCGCACAGGGCCCGTGGATTGTGCGCGCGTCGAACTGTCTGCCTGATCCCTCAGTCAAGCCAACAGATGCTTTGTAAGGGCTCCATAGTGCATTTGAGTAGAGCCTGTACCATTTTGGCCTTCGTTTTTCCCCCCCAGTTCAACTTCACATCCCCCTATATTTACGGCTTACAAGGGTTCGGGAGGGTTTGTTTTTCCAACACTGTGTCAGCCCTGGGCTGTGCCAAGCAGACAGATCGCTTTTTGCACTCCACTGCACGCGTCAGACACCATGATAGAGCGAGAGTATTAAACACGCGCGACACAAGCGATGACCTCTTTATTTCAGAGCTGTGGAGGCTTCTAGATGATTATGAAGTCCTTAAACCCCAGGCTTTTTTCCTTATCCATTGGCCAGGAGTCAAGATGGCAGGACAGGATAAAGCAAACAAGGTATTAAACCATGTAAACAAAGACCAAAAGAATCATCGATTACATTTCTTCCCCCTTGTATGTTATGATCATTAATAATATTCCCAGAGCAAATGTGATCAGTTCATTTAGGTAAGATCAAGCCAGTTGGCCTCCCTCCTTTATCTATATTTGAAAATGTGACACAGTAATGAAAAGTTTGAACTTATGTGTTAATCTCATCTCAAAGCCTTTCTTCACTCTCGACCCCTCGCGAACATACTCCTGATTCTGAAAATGTACAGTCCTTTCATCGCATGGGTTTAAACTGATGTTAGGTCATTTTGAATTTTTTTTTTTTTTTTTGGTTTTGTTTTACTTGTTTTGCTTTGTCAATACAAGTTTTGATATCCATATGAAATGTCTTGATTGCAAACTTTTACTAACGCTCTTGTTTTCTTATTTTGTCTCTTTTGGTTTTTCCACAACTGATATTGTTATTTAGAAGGTTTCAGGTGGGTGACACTATTCCTGCGTAGGTGCGGTCCGGTGGACAGGAACACTAGGGCAGCATCAGTCCTCTCCTCTTCCAGCTGTGGCCGCCCCCCCAGACAAAGTCCAAAAATATGGTAACGGGTTTGCAACAAAACAGAAAGAAAAACACCTTACTCCAATGCCTGAGTTCTTCTGTCTTGTGGCTTCCTTTGAAGAACAAAAAAGCAAGAACAAAAAAAAATAGTTAATGAAAGCAAAAGAAAAGTAGTGCCCAAGTAATTAAAAAGAGAAATGGATTGGATGTTGTAAGCAAATGAAAGCACAGTAAGAACCCTCTAACTCTCTTACTTGTTGATTGTTTTTTTCCTGTTCATTTGGATTATGATTTATTTTTTCTCCTTTATTTGGAGTTGCAGCGTTCTGCTGAGCAGATGATGCGCTGTGAGTCTGCAGCGGCGCAAGGGCTGCGCAGCGTCAAAACCGCGACCAAAAGACGCGCGCTTGAACGCACTCCCCCTCCCCTCGACCTCTGGCTGGCGGGTTGCAGACCTGCATGCCCTTCCTGCTAGCATGGCACCCAGTGGCTGTGCAGCCTTAAACATGACACCAATGGCAACGACCATTACGTAGTGCTAACTCTCCAACAATTAATCCCTTAAGATATGAATGGAATTGGCCGTGGGTACTCAGTCCATTTGAAGGCCCCTAAGGGAAGAGGGTTTCATAGTTTTGTGTGTGCCAGTCTGGTGGGGAGTCAAATCGCTCCAGGTCTGCTGTCTGCTCCCTGAGCTGGCGTTGGCGCAGGCGAATACGGGCGCTAGCGGAAACGGCGCAAGTGGCGACCACAGTGTGGGTTGCCTGCGTGGCTTTTTGCGCTCGCATTACAGGGACCTCCACCTGCACGCCGCATTTGCATTTAAGGTTGTGAAATTTACTGAGATTATGTAACGTTAATGATCTAAAGCTGACTTCTCTGCACTCCACGTGTTTTCGTTTTTTAGTCTTAAGTGTAATATTTTAGTTCATTTAAAAGTTAATTCGAAACCGCATAACTGAAGAATGTAAGTCGGAGTATAGGTGTTGGTTGGATTTGCGCAGCGTAGGAAAAGTGTGCAGCTTAGCGCAGCAGAATTTCGCGCACGCGAGCCCATGCTGCAGGCTCACTTTTTGCTTTTTGTGAGAATAGATACTAACACTTTCTGTCTGCCTTTTTGTTCTTTCTTCCTTTTTATTTGATTTTTTGTTTTCTTTACTTTTTCAACCCTTTCTCTATCTACTCTGTTCTTCTATCTACCTCCTCTTCCTCCTGTTTTTTTTTTTTTTTTTTTTTTTAACA